TGAGGAGAGAGAAGGTTTTTCGCTCGTTTTTTTATTGATAAAAAAAAATTGCTAGAAAGTTCTACGTTGAATTATGTATGTAATATAAATTAGTATTTTAAAATCCTTGAATTTGATTCGCCGGTAATAGTTTCAAAATATTCAATGTATTCCAACTTTTACCGAAAAACTATTCACAAAGTATTCCAAATCAACAATGATGATTGGCCAGAAACCAAAGTATTCGAATTCCTGCAAAAGATATTCAAACCTTTTAATTTAATATAGTATATATAATTGACAAAATATATATTATTATTTTTAATACAAAAATATCATATTTTATTTTTACTTTATTAATTTATACATAATCTATTTTATTTTTACTTTATTAATTTATATATCTATTTTATTTTTATTTTATTAATTTATACATAGATCAACAAAATATACATCTATTTTATTTTTACTTTATTAATTTATACATAATCTATTTTATTTTGTTTTATTAATTTATACATAGATCGACAAAATATACATCTCTATTTTATTTTTACTTTATTAATTTATACATCTATTTTATTTTTACTTTATTAATTTATACATCTATTTTATTTTTACTTTATTAATTTATACATAGATCGACAAAATATACCTCTATTTTATTTTTACTTTATTAATTTATATATATCTATTTTATTTTTACTTTATTAATTTATACATAATCTATTTTATTTTACTTTATTAATTTATACATAGATTATTAAACGTATTAAATAGGATTTTAACTTTTAACAGTATTGTATAGATTAGGAATTTAAACTTTTATTATATCGTTCACCAGGTTTGTCTCTGCAATGCTCTTTTTTTTTCAGCTGCCACTAGCTTCGCAATTGCTTATAGTCGGTTGTGGTTATTAAATTAAAAATCATTATTTGATACGAATTTTTGATTGGGCCCCTCACCTCCCAATCGCCAATACGAATCGCATTAATTTTCGTAAAATATCAATTTTTCAGGTTCCAGCCTGAAAAAATGTGATAACCCTCTTTATTTTTATCCCTGAACGATGCTCTGTGCTTTTTCGTTCTTCAGAGAAGAACCAACTTTATTTTTTTATCAGTTGTTTCTTTGATATAACAAACGCCTCGATTTGATGATAAACAATTACAAGCAAGTTGTAATTGTTTCTAATCAATATCTTATTTTTGTCATATCTCAGAAACAAATTTAATTTCGTTGAGTTTTTTCAAATACGAGTTTTTTCAAACCATTACCAATGAATCAGATTTGAGTATTTGAGTTTTTTCGTTGAGTTTTTTCAGATACAAGTTTTTTGAAACCATTACCGTGATTAAATTGTGTTCTAGAAGATGAAGGTATAAAAATAATCGAGGTCATAAAAAATAGTTAAAAGAAAAAATAACTTTATCAAAATAGAGCCTCGAGTTACTGGCGGCGAGATAGTTTTAGCGGAAAATGCTAGAATGCAAATAAGAATTTACGAATTACAACAACAGATTCGTGCTTTAAATGCTGACAGAGATGAATTGGTTCAAGAAAATACACGTTTAAGAAATAGAAATCAAGAATTTGAAACAGATAATAATCAGATTCGTGTAAGAAACGAGAATCTGACGCGATTAAATGACGCGTTGAAGATTGTTTTAAGAGACGCTGAAGACGAAAAAGATCATTACAAAGCTGCAAATATCAAAGAATTTGAAGATTTTATTTCAAATTATATTTTTGGCTTATTTAATAATATTGGAACATTGTTGCGATTTGATAATCAATACATAACAAATATTGTGAATTTGTTGAAATTTTATAATTTTTTTCAAATACCAATTGTTTTTCACTATATTAAAATAATTTATAGAAAATTCTTGTGGCCTATTTTTTATTTACCATATATTAACATAACAGAAATAAAACGAATGCGTATTATTGAAATGCTTTTAATGAATATTATCACAGTTTATTTCTGTTTATATTTACTTTTTTTCATATTTGGAAAGCTTGATAGAGATTGTGTGTTATTTTTTATTTAAAATAACAACTATAATTTATTGAAAATTTAAAGTATAATCAAAAACAATAAAATATAAATAAACTAAAAAATTACTGGGTATCCATTTTTGTTGCCAGTTTTTTTGTCATGAGCTAATTTTTGTTTCGCTTGTTCAATAGATTATGTTATTTAAATAAAAATTATAATTTATTGAATGTATTAAAACCAGTCGACAAACAACCTGTGATGAAGTAGCCGAGTTAGCAAAAGTGAGAGTTAGTAAAGATTATTACATAAAGTAAAGATTATTATAGGTTGTGAATCTTTGAATTAAATTAATTAATTATAAATTTAATTTTTTGGTAGTTTTTTTATTGTATTCAACATTGTTTGTATTGGCTTTTAGTTTTGTAAAATATTGTTTTTTTTTATACTCAATTGCATGGTTCAGATTCTTTACGATTTCCAGAGACGGTAAATTTAAAAATAATAAACCTGAAGAACGAAAAAGCGCGTGAGCGATCGTTCAGAGATAAAAATAAAGAGAGTAAAGTAAGAGTTAGTATAACAAGCGAAATTAAATTTCAGACATATATACGAGTTGGGATCCTCCTCTTACTTGTTAAATTAATTAAGTATAAAGTTAATTCTGAGTTTGTTTGTCAAATTCTGATCAGTAGTTTTATTTTCGACGATATTTGTTATGTCTTTCAACTTGGCCTTGTAATATTTTTTATATTCAATTGCACGGTTCAGAACAGATTTATCTTCACGATTTCCAGAAAAATATCTTTTGTGAACAATCTTATTTCTGTATATTTCAAAAACCCATCCTTTTCTAAATGTGTCGTAGTGGATATTTTCTATTCCTGATTTAGAATTTTTCATTATTACTTTTGTAACTAAAAAATAGTTTTAGAAGAGAGGATTCGGAGTATTTATATAGTTTGTTTTGATACGCAGTAAATTATTGCTGCGGCGTGTGATCTAAATGAATTAAATTTTCTTTTTAAGAATAACATTTAATTATTGCGGTTATTAAAAAAATATATATATAAGAATAGTAGCACAAAATAAATACGAAAAAAATAGAAAATTCAGAAAATGACAAAAATTTTAAGGAAAACACAGTTTAGATGTTTTATGTTTACGATTTTTACAGACGATTTACAAAAATATAAAGAATTAATAACTGAAAATGTTGACAAAAAAATTATTCGATACATTGTTTTTCAATACGAATATACTAAAACAAGTAAAAAACACGTACAAGGATTCTGTATGCTATGGACACAAATGAGATTGGGAAATTATAAATACAGGAAAAAAGCTTCAACTATTAAAAGTATTTTTCAAGACGAAGAAATGCACGTTGATTTTCATAATGGAACGTTTGAAGACGTGATTAGATATTGTAAGAAAGATAAAAATCGTTGTTCAAAACATCATCCTTATTGCAGGTATGATTTTTTTGATTTAACAAAAATATGCGACAAGTGTGACAAAAGTTACTTAGAATTTTGAACGTTCGCGCGCGTTGATGATAAATCTGGTCCATTTGAATTTGGAGAATTGCCAAGAAATAATAACAGAGAAGGATTCAATCAACATTTAGAAAAACAAAAAAAAATACGTAAACAAACCATTGAAGATATCAAAGAACAAATCAAACCGATAAATGAGATTGTCATTGATGCCTTTGTTAATTCGGGAACAGCACCGCATATTATCAAAGAACTTTATAACACGATTTGTGATAGTCAAAAAAAATCGTTCAAGAGATGTTTTACCCCTTGCAACATCTATATTTATGGTGACTCGAGACGGGAAAAGATTACTTGACACAAATACTTTTCCCTGATGCGTATCATAAGTCGCAAAATGACGGCATCTGGTTCCAAGGTTATGACGAAAATAAAGTCTTTGTGTTTGATGATTTTTATAATCATAATATGGAATTTTCGACTTTATTGACTTTAATCGATAATAAACCTCACACAGTTCAAAAAAAAGGGGGTCATTTAAATTTCTGTTCATTTGTGAATGTATTTATATCGAATATTTCATTGCGAAATCAATATGTCTATTTCGAAAATACTCAATATTTTGGGAATGAGACTGTTAAAATAGAAAACAAAAGAAAATATTCTTCAATTTATAATCGATTTGATTATATTATTGAATACAAAAAGTTTAGAAACAATGATAAAAGACCATGCGATTTTGAGTGTCTATGTTGCTCAGTAAAAAGAATTTTTCATAAGGGCTTGTATGAAAATTTTATTAACCTTCGATTTGATATTGAATTTAACTCTGATGTTACTCTCGAACAAATTGCTTA